GGGGGGACCCGTCTCAAAGGGCCCACCCCTCCTCCCTGCCAGTGGTGGGACTGGTCTTGGGTGGCCACCAGAGTGCAACACTCACCTGGGAGGCAGTGAGGAACCTGCTGGTGGCTGCTGCAGTGAGTGAAGGCATGTGGTGGGGCTGGGGAGGGGGAGAAAAGAAAAGCAAGACCTTACAAAGGGCAACCCAGTCCTTGATATGTGGGAGGTGAGCTCAGGTGTCTCTGCTTCCCTCTGGGGTGTTTTTTTTGGAGGGTTCATGTTCTCCAGCCCAAAGCTGGCCCTGCTGCAACCCTGTGGTGCTGCAGTGGGTGGCAGGTTCATGCCAAGAGGGATGTGGTTTCCCTCTCCCAGGCCAGGGAGTTGGTCAGACATGTGCAGGTGGGAACAAACAGGGCATGGACTCCTGGGGTGAAGGTCTAAGGTAGCTCCAGAATGGGGGTCACCCCCTGGGAAGGGCAGGTGGGGGCCTGTGCCCTCCATCACAGGGAGCAGGGCTGGGTTGTCAGGCAGGGCTGGGGGAGAGGAAGGGGTTGGTTTTTTCCTGAGACCCTGAAATCTTGTGTTCCCTGCTCCTTGGGTGAAGGCTCCAGCTCAAGCCCTTGGGAGCCACCTGAGGCAGAGGTGCCCATGACACAGCTCTGGAAGGGGCAGCAGGAGCTCTGCCTGGGCACTTGGCAGGCTCAGAGGTGCTGAGTCTCCTCCTTCAGAAGGGATTGTGGTGGCAAAAAAGAAGCTCAAGGTGATTTATGGCTGGGGGGGTGTTCAGTGTCTGCTGGGCAAATGTGTTCTGCTCCATTTCCCACTGCTTGAGGAGCAAACAAATCCTGCCTTCTCTTGGTGTCTCTAATCCCCTTTTTGCTCCTCTCTCTCCCTGCTCAGATGTGTAGTTCCAGAGCTGAGAGTCCTCAACCCCACCATGACCTTTGGAAGGTGCTTTCTGAAACACCCTTATCAGCAGATGCTGACCCTGGTGAACAACAGTGACCTCCCAGGCTGCTACAGGCTCCTGCCTCAGGTGTGGCATCACCTCCTCCTCCTCCATCTCCTCTTTCTTCTCCTTCTCCTCCTCCTCCTCCATCTCCTCCATCTCCTCCATCTCCTCCATCTCCTCTTCCTTCTCCATCTCCTCTTCCTTCTCCATCTCCTCCATCTCCTCCTCCTCCTCCTCCTACTCCTCCGCCCCCTCCACCTC